CTGGAAACCGTAAAACAAGAAATGGAATATATAAACATTGCAGTTGGTGAAGATAGCTACGCTGGCAAGTGGGGGGGGGGGCTTTCCTGTTTTTTACCCCGTCTTTAACATCTTTATCTGGCCTGAAGAAGAGTCCAAAAGAATTTGAGAACATGCTGGCACCAGGGCTGACACAAATAATGTCCCTGATCCTCTTACTCAACACAGTAAATGACACTAGAGTGGTCCTATTGAATCAATAGCAGTTTGGTGAGTTAACTCCTCCATATTTTCCATTGATTCAAATGGGCCTACTCTAACTACAGCTTACTTTAGCATAGTCAATCACAGAGTAGGACTATTTGGATTAATGGAGCAGTTGACTCAATAAATCCCCATTGATTCAGGAAGCCTTGCTCCAGTGTAATTTACTATGCTAGCACACACATAAAATGCTGGATTCTGTATCAAAGATTTGACATCTCCATTAATGAAAAATAAAATAAATGCAGAAGGATGTTCTGATTCTATAGCATGTTTCTCCCGAGTTCAAATGTTCTCATTTTTGGTGCAGTTAGAGTGGCACCAGCTGCTTTGAAATGCATGTGCAATCTATGAGGGGTGGATGTGTGGTATGCCCTCCTTTTTTCCCTACCCAAGTCCACCTGACTAACCAATTTCACCAGAAACAATAGAAGGAAAGACTTGTGCCTCAGTCCTGTTTCCTTTACACCATGTGGCTGAAGGGAAGGGTATGAAAGGAAAGCAAGATAAGAACTCAGCCGTTTGGCTCTCTACTGTAAGAGCAGCTCCAGTATTGGGTTTACACAAAGCAGCTATCCAGGTAAGGGAGCTCCATGACTCACATGGATTATGCTCAAGAATTAAAAAACAAATAAGCAATGAGGTTGAGGAAGGGAGGAGAAAATTAGAACAAGCAAAACTTAGGGGTTTGTGTCTTATTTTTCTGTAGCAAAAGGATTTGTTCTCCAACGACTACAACAATCAAGTGGGTTTGGGGTTATTTGCCAAGCTTATGGCAGCAGATGTTTTTGTCAGCAAAGCAACATGGCAAAAAGAGAAGGGGGGAACGATCCAGAGTCAAGTGTGAGGCTGCAGGTCCCAGCTGGGTGCAAAATTCTCTTACTGAATTGAGCGATCCTTTCAGATTTCCATGTTGTGCTTGCAGCACCAGGTTCAGTCCTTACTTGTTAAAGTCTTTGCATTGTTGCAGGGATGTCATGTCACACATTTCCCAGCTACTCAAAAGCACAATGTTTTGCTACTACTGCAAAGTGATTTTCTTCACAGAAAGTGGGACTGCATTTAAAATTCTTCTGAAACTGACATCTAATTGCATGAATGTATGCACTGGATGTCTTTCCTAGAAGTGTGTGCTCTGTAGTGCCTATTGGATATTAGTACTCTATGTTATGCACTTTATAGCATTCTAAATGTTTAATTTTTTAATCACTTTTGTCTGAGGCCAAGTACTGTTATATTTTCTGCTTTTCGGGAAGAATTTATCTACTGTGCAGCTCCAGGTAGCTTTAATCTATCATAAATCATACAGGCAAGGAATCTAATGGTGTATTTCCTCTGAATTCTAGTGCTTCTGCCAGACTCAGCGATTTTTATCTACCCTTCTGCAGCCCATCTCCCCCTATGCACACTCCCAACTGCAATGGTGCTGAATACAAAACTATGCTACTAGATCTTGGCCATAGCCCATGCAATCCCATTGAAGGCAGTTACCTCTTTGAAGCAAAATTTCCTGAAGTCCAAGGACAATCAATGTTAATTGTAAGATATCAGCAGCACTTTAAACTACCAATGTGTGATTGCTGTAACTTCTGTTCTACTAATCAGAGGTCATTAATTGTATTTCTTGAAGTGCTTGCATTGGAATGAAGCAGCCTTAAACATGAAACATGTTCAAGTTGGAAGCAAGCCCCTGCTGCATTTAATGGGATTTACCTTCTAGTATGTGTATGTAACGTGCACTTAAGGTCGGGTTTCAGTCTCAAACCAAACCCAGAATTGTCAATGATGCTAAGAGGGTTTAATTGGTAGAAATGCCCCATAGTGTTATGATTTTTTTTCCTTTCAAAGTTTAGATCATTCAAAGCTGGGCACTCTATCCTCTGTTACTGTAAAATGCAGGACGGTGGTGGGAGGGGATGAATTAAATGGAAGTAAGGTACAGTACTGCTTCTACATCAAAGTGAGTGTTAATACAGCACTAGGTTAAACCTAGTTGTATGCTTGTTTGTTCAACCTTGAATGGCCACTACCACTTTTAACTCAAAAGTTTACATGTTACAAACAAATCTGCTAGGAAATACATTGTGTCATGTTATTCATTTATAAGAAACACAAAATACTGCAACACTTTAAAAACATAACACATTCATTTTAGTAAGAAGTTTAATGGATTATAATGCATTTCTCCAGAACCATGCAGTATAATATTTAGGCCACAGATTTTTTTGTATTTATTTATACCAGCCTAAGCAAGACAGCATAATTTGGAGCAGATAATTGCCGCTAGTCAAAAAGTCCAGGCTTGTACTCCTCATCCTGCACCACCAGCATGACTTGGTTCACAACAAGGAATACAAACCTCAACTTCTTAACTAGTAAAAGCAAAGAAAAGCATGCTGCTTATATACCGCCCCATAAGCACTCTATGGGCGGTTTACAAGTTAATTGGATACTAATTTTACCGACCTCGGAAGGATAGAAGGCTGAGTCAGCCTTGAGCCGGCTACCTGGGATTGAACCCTGGGTCGTGAGCACAGTTTTGGCTGCAGTACAGCAGTTAAACCACTGCGCCACGAGGCTCTTAGTAGTAATTTGCCACACCAGCTTATGTCATTTGATTTATAGTGGTGTGCATACATAACAGAATTCTGGCCATCCCATAAGTGCATGGGGAAGGATCAGAGTTAAATAGGATACAGAAAATGATAGCTGGATAACAATTGTATTGTTAACAATATAGTCTCAATATGTTGGTTGCATCCTGGCAATAGGGGAGGTAACAAATCAATACTAAATGTCTATGGGCTAATATATAACTATTAGGTTTTGAAGGACTGAGTTCTAATGTCTGGAAGAGTTGTGGCTGAATTAGATTCTATGAAATATAAGACAGATTTGTATCCCTACTGTTCAGTTTTACCACACTGCAAATGAAACAAATCAGAAGGATCCGAGTCACACCAAAGCGATATATTAATCACAGCAGTGGCCTGCCTGCTTTCTCACCCTCTCATTTGTGGATTTATATGAGTGTGTTTATTACTGACAGCCACATAATAATACATATGAGTTGGATATCCAGTGTCAGAGCAGTTTTCTACAAAGCGCTCTACTTCTGTGAGCAATAGACATTTTTTAAAAAGGCCTCATCCCACTGTTTCTAATCTTTCTTGGCCATATGGATTTCATCTGTGTGCAGAAAACAGCAGTGTCTTCTCCCGCTGTCATAACAAAGTAGATATAACTTTAGAGCAGGAACTCCTCAGAGATCAATAGGAGGAGGAAAATGAGAAGCAAGAGGATCTGTTGTGTTTCCTGCTGCTCAGATTGCTGAATCAGTATATTTTTAGCTATATGTTTTCCATTTTGAACAAAAGGAGGAAGTCCTGCTTCTCTACTACCTGTGTTCACTTTACTTCCAGAGAGGTAGCTGTGTTTCCATTGGCTGCAGCAAAAAAAGGAAAAGAAAACACCCTTAAAACGTTGTGGTACCTTAAAGAAGTGGTCCCCAACCTTGGGCCTCCAGATGTTCTTGGACTTCAACTCCCAGAAATCCTGGCCAGCAGAGGTGGTGGTAAAGGCTTCTCGGAGATGTAGTCTAAGAACATCTGGAGGCCCAAGGCTGCCTTAAAGACTCTCAAAGGCAAGGGCCCAAATCCTGTTGTGCAGCTTTAACATTGTCACTGGCAGATTGCAGCTGATCAAAGACTTCCTTTTAAAAAAATTTCATGGTGCACAAAGCTCATATGTAATTGGACAAAGCCATGTGCACCCCACAATTGAAAAAGGAATCACCAGCAATCTGCTTCTGAGAATTACACAATTCCCACTGTGCAAGTAGAACCCATCCAACAAAATGTTGGCCAACATGGAATAAACTTTTGTTATATGCTTCATCTGCTGCACAAACTCTTTTAAGTGTTTGACATCTAAACAAGGCTTTAGGAAGGACTTCATTGAAGAAAGTATATTAGGTTCCCAACAGCATACACAGGAAATGGCTGTGGTACGAGGGAATTGGAAAGGATGTCAGCTATGGGGGAGAGGGAGGAAAAGCTTTGGAAAAGCTATTGTTTTGCACTGCAGCTCCCAGAACCCAGGGGCTTCTGTTGGTCTCTGCCACAAAAGGTAATGCCTCCAAACTCTCAGGAAAAGGAGACAGTCACAGCTCTGCCACAGTGACTACTGATATTATGCTACTATGAATGCTCAGATACCAAGGTTTCCCATGTGTTGAGGTCCATTCCTAAGGCCTTCAGATCCCGCTTGCAGATATCCCGCTTGTAGGCAAAATGATAACACTGTCAAATCCTTAACCTATTCCAGAGTTAATAACATGGCCATTTATTCTGCTGACATTATCAAGGCCCAATTGGACAAACAAAAGCATGTTTCTGAATTTCAAAACCAACACTACAAAATACTGCACTTATTCTGTTGTTCAAACCATCCCGGTACGGAACTGAAATGGAACTCAGAGACCAATGTGGTATGACCTTGGCTAGTTAGTAACCAATGTCTAAGCCAATGCAGGATGTAAGTTTTGATCTTTAAAGTTCTACATATCATGGTTTAGTGTATTTTACAGTGAATTGTCTTGGACTCAATACTGTGTATGAAAACCTTTGAATTAAATATTGGAAATGGAAGCTAGGATATTTTGGTTCTACATATCATGGTTTAGTGTATTTTATTGAGTTGTCTTGGACTCAATATATGAAAATCTTTGAATTAAATACTGGAAATGGAAGCTAGGACAGTTTACATGTAGCCCCTCCCTTTCCTCCATCAGGGAATATTCATACATTTTTGCTGAAGCACTCCAAGTAGTGGCAGATCCTGGTATTCCATGGAACAAAATACATGTGTGGAGGAGAAGTTTGGTGTGCATAAATGTTGCATATCCTTCTCAAATTATCTATCAAGAGAAGACCTTAGCTGATCAGAACCACCAGGTCACCTCCTGCTAATATATCAAATGTACTAAACTCTTTTCCCTTCTGTTTTGACATTACAGCACAGGAAATTATGGCTCAGGGATGTCTTATGGTCTGCAGGCTGTTGTTGCTTCTCTGGACTCTGCTGATGGCGCACCCAGAGGTCTCCGATTGTTCCGAATGCCCCCCTGGTTGCAGCTGCTCTTTCACGGTGTGGTTTGTTCGGTGCTCCAATGCCAGCCTCTCTTCTCCTCCTGCTGGCTTCCCGCATGCCACGGTGGAGCTGGACCTCCAGTTCAATTGGTTTGACAGCCTGCCTGCAGCCTCTTTCCCCAGTTTGCCAGACCTCACCACACTTTACCTTGGAAGCAGCCGTGTGCACCTAATTGAGCTGGGAACCTTTCAAGGGGTGAATAATTTGTACCATCTCTATCTGGACAATAACCTCCTTGAAGAGATTCCAGCAGGGGCCTTTGAAAACCTGACCAGTCTAGTCTTCCTGCATCTGCAGCGCAACCGTATCACTTCTCTTTCACCAGGTATGACTAGATTGGTGGTTTCCCACCAATGGATTTTCTTGCATAAGACCTCTCTTCGCTCCTTATCTCATGGTTTGTACAATATGAAAAGGATGTGCTCAGAATGAGGCATGTGGGACAAATATAAATGAAATAAACAAACAAACACAAAGCATAACAATACATAAGGCTTCAGTATTTACTTGTAAGTTAAACAGAAAGGAATAGCTGAATAAGGAATGGATGACATTATGCTCCACCTGTATTTATAGCATTTTAATTATATAATATCTTGAATTGGTGAACAGCCCAGACAAACCTATTCTGGTTGCCTTTTTGTATCCCCCATGACAACAAAAGTAAAGCTATTGCACTGTAAGTTGATAGAGTGTTGGACTGAGACTGAGGACACCTGGGTTAAAATCTCTGCTTGGCAAAGGAAACGCACAGGTGGGGGTGTGGTGATGGCAGTGGTCAACCACGCCTTGAGCATTTCACATACCTCAAAAATCCTATTACAGTATTATAAGTTAGAAGCAACTTAGTGGAATGAAACAGCAAAACAGAGATCTCTATTTTTCCCTTGATGAAGAAGAAGCGGGGGAAATTGTGGGTATTCCTTCTTCAAACTGACAGCATTAAATTTCAACAGAGACATGTTCTGTTATAAACAAAGCTTATAATATTACAATTTTGTGTTTATCTGAAGATTTCATATAAAATAAACCATAATACAGTAGTAGCAGCAAAAAAAAATATCTCTCTCTGCTCGGCAGAGTTCAGCAAACTTCCTATAATCCTGAGGTCTGCGGGTTTTAAAAAAATCAAGCCAAACTTGTGCACAATCAAATACTGTATACAGAAATACAGGACAAGGAAAAATATTTATGTTGGGGGGGGAGGAAGAACAGGTGGCAATAATTGCCTGTGGAACCAATGTAGTTCTGATTTTTCTCTTCCAGATGCATTTTCCTCTTTGAAAAGGCTGAGTGTCCTAGACTTAAGCCACAACCTACTGGCTGAACTTTCAGACAGGTGCCTTAATGGTCTCCAGCAGCTGCGCCAGCTTCATCTCAGCTCCAACCTCATCTCCAACATGTCCACCCGAGCTCTTCCAGGGAGCTTGCGCACACTGTACCTTGACTGGAACAGGCTGAAGAGTGTGCCATATGCCGTCTGTAACTCTGTCACACTCTCCAGCCTTCACCTCAGTGGCAACCCAATCAGGGATCTGACCTCTCTCTCTTCTGGGAGGAAGCTCAGCTCCTTACGGCAGCTGTTCTTAGAAAATCTGCTTCTGGAGAAGAACATCACCAGCTCAACTTTTAAAAGGCTCCGCAGACTTGAGGTTTTGAGCCTCAGGAACAATAGTTTGGAAACACTGCCTTCCCTTTCATCTCTCAAGTATCTCTCTACTTTGCATCTGACCGGGAACAAGTGGCACTGTGATTGCAACCTGATCTGGCTTCGTACCTGGCAGAAGAAGGTGATGAAAAAGGATCGTAGTCCAGTGGAATGCAGTTCCCCAGATGCCCTTCAGGGACAACAACTAGTGAATATAGAGGTAACCAGCAGTCTGATTCAAGCCAAGAGGACTCAGAAATGTGTTATAAATAACTATTCTGAAACCTCCTTTAGTCAATTAGCTGGTGTGAAAAACACTCCTATTGATTTTAAAACGATGTGCATGTTCTGAACTAACCAACATCGTGTGGAAGGAATAAATTATTAAAAGTTATTCCCCTCCCCTGATGGCAATGACAAGGACATTGCAGTTTGGAGAGTAACATTCACATGTTTCAAGATGTGGGAAGTTTATTTTTAATGATGTTTTCAATAGACTAAAGTAGGAATTAATGACTAAAGTGTGTTAATGACACACCCAACTCTGTCATTCGGAATGCATGACCTTATGATGTTTTCAATAGACTAAAGTAGGAATGCATTAATGACACACCCAACTTTGTCATTCGGAATGCATCACCTACACAGGGGCCACCAAGTAAACTCATGCAGATGTTTCCCATTCTAAAACCAAGCTGTGATCTGGGCTTATAACTTCCATGCTCACCCACTCCATTGGTTCCTAGTTTCTTTTAGCACATTTCCCACTAACCTGTGCAATTTTCTGGCAGTGTAATGCCTACTTGTTTACTAAATTATGCATTTGTCTCTCTGGGCATATTAGTCTCTATTAAAAAAAGTTTTAAAGGAGTGAATAGTGCTGTGTTCAGTCATAGTTTGTGCCTGTAACTGTTCACTAAGACCACTTTGACACGAACATAGGCTAATAAGCACACAGATTGTTTTGTTCCTGTAATCCGACTTTGTGCCATTGGAGTTGTGGCAAAACATTATTTATAAGCTAACATGCTCCTTATTGCCCCAACATGGATTCAAATGAACATTCCTACTGTGTTGCCCCCAAAATAAGACAGGGTCTTATATTATTTTTTTACTCCAAAAAAGGCATTTCAGGGGATGTTTTTTTCATATACAACAACCTACATTTATTCAAATACAGTCATGTCATTTTCTTCTGGTTGCTGCACAATGGTGGAGGGCAGGGTTTCACTTAACTAGGGCTTATTTTTGGGTGGAGCATATATTACAAGCATCCTGAAAAATCATACTAGGGCTTTTTTTAAGGTTAGGTCTTATTTTTGGGGAAACGGTATTTCATCCTGTGATGCACTGGCCCAGTTAATACTACATAGGTACTGTATAATACTGACACATGCACTTTCTCAAGTCTAACCTTATTCTGTCTTCTCTGAATACATCTCACAAACCTGCATCTAGATTTTTATTTGCTCTGCACCATAACTGCCTGACCATTTTGTAGGTCTCCTTACCCAAGGAATGACGGAAATTATTTTAGAAACATAAACTAATTTATATTTAGAACAACCAGCTGGGATAGCCTTTTGAAACGCCCTAATCAAATATTGTGAACATTTGATTTTAAACACTGTTAACTACTAATGGTGATGTCTTCCTCCAGAAAGCAAATATTTTTTTTTATAGTCAAGCTCCCATTATATTTGCAGATGTTTGAGGGCTACCATTTTTAAGCTCATCTTTTTTTGTTTCAAAATGAGGTAATTACAATGCAAAACTTATAACCAGTGATTTTACTGCATTCCAAAGCACACTTACAAATCTTATATGTTGGTAACTTTAACTTTGAGCACTTTTTCTCCATGCATATTGATGATCCTTCCCCACCCCCAGCACAGATGATAGAGCTACATCGGTAGCTACAGATCATCTGAAGTTGCCTTTATGTATATGGTAACAGTATGCAAAATATACTTGAAAACTCTTACCCTAATAAAGTCCCACATTTTCCTCTTGCGGAAAATATCGAGAATCTGCTTCATAATAAAAGTCAGTAGATGTATGAAGACTCTACCCCAGAAAAACTAACTGCAATCTGGAACAATCAGCTTTTACTTTTTAACTTCAGTCCACATTCAAGAAAAAGTTGGACAACCATCTGTCAGATCTGTTTTGATTTCGATTCCTGCACTGAGCAGGGGGTTGGACCATTGGCCTTATAGGCCCCCAACATAATTCTATGATTTTCATTCAACTGTTCAGTATTGCATCCCTTCTTTTGTTATGTTAACTACGTCTACACCCATCTTCCTTCTAATGAACTCAATATTTTATCCTATTTGTACTGAAGTATTTATTTTATGGGATAGATACAGAACTGACACTCTCCTTGAATTATTCTGTGATGGAGGAGTCTAGTAATAAGTTTAAAGCTCAGAGATAGTAATTTTTTACCCAGAACTGAAAAGGAATAATTGCTTTCATGCATTTATCGCACAGCAATCGTTGGGGGAAAAGTTTTATAGATTTTTATAATGCTTCACGACACAAAACCACTTGGCACAGAAAATTCCAAAAAAACCCACAAATTACCCAGAGTCCCAATTGTCTATCCTCACCCTTTTTAGTTTTCTTTAAAAGTTGGACTCTAAACTCATGGGAACTTTCTTATTAATCTGTAAAGTTCTGTAATTGAGGGGAATCCAAGATGCTGCATTTGGTTATTATATAATGATTCTTCTCTAAAACAAAAATCTTCCTTTAAAAATTAAATTTAGTGAGAAAATGGCAAGCCAGATCATAACACATGACCTTGAAAAGCGATTTCTCTCATGTTTTTCTCTCTTTTTTTCCCAGTTACAGAAACTGACTTGTCCCCCTTATCAAACCAAATCTGACATAAGCAGCTCCTCTGCAAATATATTGATGGCCTCTACACTACCTACTGTAGGATCCTTGTCACAAGCTGCTACATCACTTCCGGTTACTGTTTTCACTAATTTCACTACCAGCAGGATAACCTCCACCATCAAATCTACTACTCGCAATAACGCTGCCACAGGTCAAACAACCCACAGTAACCATCGCACAGTAGAACAACATGACCCTTGCCTCTCTCATGATATTATTAACATCAGCACAAGGACAAAGGGTAGCACTGCCCTACTGGTGAGCTGGTCTTCTTCAGGAGATCATAACCAATTTGAAGTATGGTGCAAGTCTTCTGTGGACCAGCACAGACTGAGAGTGATTGGAGGATTAACAGAGATTGAACTACACCATCTCCAGCCACAGACTACTTACAAAGTGTGCATTATTCCCCAGAATGAGAACCTTGTAGAATGTGTGGCCCCAACAGCTCAGCAATGCACATCAGGGCATACCGGTGCTCCCTTTACGTCTCAGCACAACAAGTTAGCCCTGGGAATTGGCGTGAGCATTATGCTTTTCATACTTATCACCATGGCTATCTTTGCCTTTTACAAGTGGCGGTTGCGGCCCATCCAATTCCAGCGCCACTATGATGAAGACGGGCCGTCTTCTCAGCATCAAGGCATTACTCAGTCCAAACCGACTACAGAATCAATCTATGAGAACTTAGAAGATGGCCAGCATGTGACAGCTGCCAGTCAATGGTGTGAAGAGAAGATAGGCTGCACTTCTACTACCCCATCCAGATTTTCATCTACACCAACGTATGTGAGTCTGTAATCTAGGAAACAGCAACAAAATACAATTAAAAACATCTAGACTCCATTAATAATTTTCTAAAATGGCCAGGAGCTATGAACAGCACCACAAACCTTCAAAGCTATGGTGGCTTTTTTCTTCAACTATGGAGGATGCTCTGAACAACCAATTATCTACAATAAGGAGGTTTACACTCATCCAAGAAGGACTGAACCAAACAGAGGATTACATCTTCCACTAGCCATTGGGTAATATTCTTAATTTGGCTGCAACTGGCTGTGTCTTGCCTAGTGTCTAAACTAGATTTTTTTCTCAAATTTGGCCAAGATGGGTTTCCTCATTTTTCAGTTCCCCAGCCATACAGGGGCTGTGTGCTTCGATAAAATGCCATGGAAAAAGTATTGAGTGACTGACAGCTCTTTCTCTACCATGCTACATTGCTGGAGGTGAAGCGCAAAACCTATTACCTCAAGATGATTTTACAAGGTTGCAGATTCCATTTGGGACCTTACTTTAAACAGTAGAGTCTGGTCAACAGCTGGCTATAATGATTTTTGGAACTTCTCTAGAATCCTAGAGAACAAAAATGTGATATTTTGTAATATTTTAGTGTTTGTGATATTTTAGTGGTCTAACAAGGGTATCATCCAAGAGGTTGTTCTTTGTTTTCTGGAAAGCCAAGTTACATTCATGTTACAGTGATACAGAGAAAGAACTTTCAGCTGCAAACTGTAGGTGATGTGTTTGTTTTCCTTTTATGCTTGCCTCAGTGGTTTTGTTCAGTGAACCTGAAAACAGATCCATCTATATATCATGCCATTGATGGTCAAACTGTTTAGCAAGAGTAAGAGAGAGACACACCAAGAGAGAAGTACGATACCCATGGCTGTGCTATCTACAATTAATCCTTTCAGCCATCAGCTTTAGATCCTCACATATTTTAATTAAAACCCACTTGAGGGACAACGCATCCAAATAGTATTTGGATCAATACTATTTAGTTTTTTCTTTAATGTTATAAGTAAGGCTTCTGCTATGTGGGACAAATGTTCAGGTCACGTGTAACTGAACATCTCAGACAAACAGCCAGATTAAACATTATAATAACGATCCATGATTTGTCTCTTAGTATTTTTTAAAATGGAAGTGCAATCTTGGAAGTTATGCCTTCAATCACAATGATGGTGCTTTTTAGCCTTTCCCCCCAATATTATTCTACTGAATAAAATGAACTGCAGTTTACGAACTGTAACATTCTGGTAGCTCTTAAGGAAATAACTTGAAGATTTTCATTCTTAAATGGTTAAAGGAGAATCTGAAAAAGAGATTACTTCTCTCCTGAAAGCAGTTATGTAATTCTACTGTTAGACCCCTGCGTTCAGAAGAGGAATTGGGGGAGAGGTAACTGAGCTGCAGCTACCATCTTGATATCCCTAGAATCTCTCTGGACCCTGTTGTGGCTGCTTTGTCTGATGCTTCTTGCAATGCCAGACTGTTTGCTGTGGTAGCTTAACTCTACATCCTATGCATGTTTTGACGCAGAAGCAACAGCACTGGAAATATCTGCACAGCACACACACTACAGAACACCATTCATTTATCTAGGGAAGCAGGATATTCCCCATTCAAAGAACCCATGGGTCTCACATGAGTATCAATGAAGTGAACGATAGTTGCCTAAATGTATAGAAGCAGCTCAGAAGAACCTAATATTTGTCTTCTAGTTGAACAAAAAAGCCCCACCGTTTAAGCACAATGATGGCTGGAGAAAATCGGTTAGATGAGAATCTAATGTAGAAATGCCACCTGCTCCTTTCATTTTGGGACAGAGCACAATAGAGGAGAAATGCTTTTAATCACAGAAAATATCCTGCAGTAGTGAGAATAGAATGGGATGCCACGGTAGTGAAAAGCTGCAGAGGAATACTTACTGTATGAGCTGCATCAAGGACTTCACTTAGTTTCAGTTCTATGTTTGCTTGATGAACCCAATTTCCAATTTTAAAACACTACCCACAGGTTTAATCCGATGCATAAGCAATAAATTTCCCCTCCCCATTTGAGAGGCAGCAGAAAGAAAGGATAAACAAAAAAAGATTCCAAGGAGAGTCAAAATTGATTATGCTTACTCCGAATAAAGTCTATTTTAATTGGGCACATACTTCTGTAGATTGAAGCAATGTTACTAATAGTCTTGGGCAGGTCATCAGATTCCTTTTTGTGGAAAATATCCATGAGTAGTGATGGTCACACTTCAAAACCAAACAGGCAATGAAATCTCTCCCATACACAGACCACATTCCACTTGTGTATACCCTAACTCTCATACTGTGAGAAACAGCAAAAAATAGTAAAATTACTTTATACCTGATGCTGGTCTATCTATGGAGGAAAAACCCTCAAGTTATATCTCATAGCAAAATTCAGTAATAAAACTAGTTTCAGATTTTTACTGTTACCCCCAGAGAGGTCTTTAAACAGATGGTTTCGGGTTTGGAATACCATGAAAGCCCAAAGCTCTGAAAGAAGTTGAATTCAGCAACAGAAGTCCCAGCTAAAGAGAGAGGGAAATCCTATCCATGGAGCTACACCGCACAATGATACATTTGTGGCACAGCTCCATGAATAGGATATCAGCCAGAACGTTGAAAAATTGAAGGAGAACAAAAATCGGAGAAGGAAAAACGCTCCCTGCAAAAAAGAGAGATATGTTGGGGAACACAGGGTTCACTCCAGAAAGAGGGAGCTTAAAAACAAAACACACAAACATTAAAAAAACCACCACACAGCAGAGTTCCTCATATCTTGTTTTAGCAGAAGGAAGCCAGACAGCCAAGTGACAAGGCAGGCTGAGGGTTTCATCCGTAAGTTCTGATGTTTTTGTCTCCTCTCTGTCTCTGAGTGTTCTGACGCAAGTCCCATGATGGGGCAGAGCATAATGGCCCCTGTATTACAGCTGGTGAAGAGTCTGTAACAGCAAGTGGCGGGCAAAGGAACAAGAATCCAATGCACGGTTGGGTCTGCCAAAATAATATGGAAATTTAAAAGGGCTGTTTATTAATGTCATTTACATGCATTCATTAATTTCACATGTATTCAAGTACAGTGGTGCCTCGCTAGACAGTTACCCTGCATGACAGTTTTTTCGCTAGACATTGACTTTTTGCGATCGATATAGCGATTCGCAAAACAGTGATTCCTATGGGGGAATTTCGCTGGACAGTGTTTCGTCCCTGCTTCACAAACCAATTTTCACTAGACAACGATTTTGACAGCTCCCTCCGTGCTCGCAAAATGGGTGTTTTCGGGACCTAAGCTTCACAAGACAGCTATTTAAACAACTGATCGGCGGTTCGCAAAGCGGCTTTCCTATGGCCGATCTTCGCTAGACAACGACGATTCTTCCCCATTGGAACGCATTAAACAGGTTTCGATGCATTCCAATGGGGAAATGCTTTTCACTAGACGATGATTTCGCTAAACAGCAATTTCAGTGGAATGGATTATCATCGTCTAGCGAGGCACCACTGTAATAAGCATAACAAAATGGAATAAACCTATCATTCTGCATGAGAGGACTCTGCAGTTGTTTATTACTTGGCCCTGGAAGGCATCATAGGCAAGCACAGGAACTGAAAGATGCTTAAGACACACAAGATTTCCTATCAGGCGATAGGCACACCAGATTCGTTTTGTAACTTGCACATAACAAATATATATGTATTATTTGTCATGGTCCAAAGTTTAGCCTCCTGAGAACATTGCACAAAATAAGATTGTAGCTGGTGAGATTTATTTTCCTGGTCTCTTTAAGCCTGCTTCATTATATCTCCTCTTTTCATTGGGAAACAGGAGATACAATATGCTATAGCTTATGTAAAATTTAAAGAAAAGAATTAAGAAAAGAAAAAGGTGATTTACTGTTGCCATCCCACCTATGCTAAGCAAGGCATTGCTATTCAGTTACTGTAATGGTTTTCTCCCAACCAAGTTGTTTAGGATGGGGAAAGCAAATGCCAGTAATGCAGCATTATGTTTATCACATAATGGGAAAAATAGGTACTTTCTGATTTAAAGATATTGCACTAAATAAGGTTTTATTTTGGTATGCAGAGTACAATGCTGTAGTTAGAAAAAGATCCAGAAATTTTCAAGGAGTATCCAGAGTAGCCTTTCCTTAACAAAAGCCTCTTACTGTGTTACAGGTTCACACCTCTGCCCCCCACTAGGGCAGCTACATAAATCAGAAAGTCTTGTTTGTACAATAACAAGTAGGCTTCACGCTCATATTCTACTGTTTGGTAACTAAGTCAGCTATTCCAATTCCTTTTGCTCATTATGTTCAATACTGAAGAAAGAATGAACTGGGGATACATTGAGAATTTTCACCTAGCATCCTACATTAAGTTTTCTTCTAAATGTGCCATTAAAAAGAAAAGCAATACTCACTTTGTGACAAATGCCAAAAGAACTGGAACAAGGGACTTGGGGAAATAATCCTGCTGGACCATGTGATTTAAAGTCATCAGAGGGCCATAAAGGCTTGGAACAGCCTTGATCTTCTCTTCACTCTGGAGAGTAAAAAGAGACAGAGGAGTGAGATTGGGGTAAGCAACTATGTCTGGAGTAACCCAGAGATATTTGCTCAGATGGTGCGACTCTACAAGCATCCTCCCCTGCCTTTCAAAGCCCAAGCAGGCAGTGGGGGTAACAAGAGGTTGTTCTTTTTTGCTTGAAGAAAATAGAGAACTACAGCATCTGTGCCCAAAGGCCAAAAGTAGGGTATGCAGCTGCCATACTAATTCTGCTTTTTTTCAAGGGCAAAAGAAACAAGTCGATACAGTACGTAGTTCTTCAGATTCCTTCGGTATTCAAAGGTGGCAAATTACAGTCTACCATTCCCCACCTACGCATGTTATTTGCATCCATTGCTATGCATGGATGTTATGTTATGATAGAAGCAGAGAAATGTTCCTCAATTCTATGATTAGTTGTAGTCAGAAAAGATTTCTTCAGCACAGCAGCCTCATATAGCCATTGAGAAAATAATGTCCACCTTAGCTAGAGATCTTGGCCTTCTAGATCTGCGTGCTTTTCAGAACAAGGATGCAATGCAGCTATATAGTTCACAGCTGTCATCTGCCTCTCACCTTAAGCAATCCCATGTGAATCAGGAGGCTGGTAATGAAAGCATCAGAATTGAAGGTAGCTGATGAAAATGCTTGTCTCATCAAAGCATCTAAAAAGAGATATAGGCAGGATTCGTTTTCAGAGTGCATGAGATAATGCTGGGCTATTAGAGGAGATGGGTTCATACTGAACAAACTATTAACGTGAAATGTTGAACTGAGAAACCACCTTCTTCCCTGCAAACACATTCAGTCCTTCAGCCGAGGGCCTTCTGATGATGCAACATTCATCAGAAGGCTACTAGGTGGATGCGCTGAGCAATGTGGGTACACCTACTATGTAGAATAAATTTCCCACAGAGATTAGAGGCCAATAATTCTAGATGTTGGAAGATGGAGCTAGTAATGTAAACATTTCAGCTATAGTTTAGTCTATACACCTACTATGTAGAATAAATTTCCCACAAAGATTAGAGGCCAATAATTCTAAATGTTGGAAGATGGAGCTACTAATGCAAACATTCAGCTATAGTTTAGTCTACCATGCATTTTATTTATTTATTTATGGATATGTAGATATGGTAACTTTTCAATATTTATTTGACATTACATATTTTTATAAATTTGTGTACACCTTTTCAAAATCTGTAGATATAAAATGGTTTATCAATACAAAGTAACAAATTCACATACTAAACTCCATACAGTTCTCAACACTATCCCACAAACCCACAACTGACACATTCATGCTGCAAGTATTACACTGACATATACACTGTCAGAGCATGGAAGGAGTAAGGCTGTCATATAGGACGTTATTAAACACCTGAAGACCACAAAATAAATTCACTAGTTCTAATTTAATATATCCTATATTTTAGGCGGGGCGGGGGTGGGGGAAGAAAGAGAAGAATCAGCATCCAATACTCTTTTTCACCCAAGGCCTGGTTTACACATTTTGCTTCCTTATACACAACTCCTTCAATTGTCCACCTGGCTGCTATTATTATGAGGTGAGCCATTTACCTGGGGCTACTGTTTGGAGAAGAGGGCATCACCAAGATAAAAACTCACGTGATCCATATAGTAAGTCAATGTGAAAGAACTATTTGCCACATTCCCCAAACAAACAAAACAAACCGGAATAGCTTAAAGAAGCTTCAAAATGGCAGCCATTATATCAGGTAGCTCTCCATATGTTGTTGTATTGCCATTCTACCACCTTTTACTATCAATGGCTACAGCTGATGGGAGGGAGGTGTGTTCCCTGTACCAATGTTATGCTGAAGACAGCTTTTAAACCATTTGGCTCAGCAGTCATAACTACAACCATGCTGAGCTAGATGCAGAAGACTACCCATGCACTCTGCTTAATAAACTTTCATTTGCATCCCTGGGCAGGCTACCAAAAAGAGAGCTTATGAAGAATCTGGTGGACTCCAGTGCCTAACTGGTATCCACATGTGCCCTGGAGATTGAATGCAACAGTCTAATTTATGCCATCACTCTACCTTCTAAGGTTCCTAATATTCCCAAAAAAGACATACTCACCTGTTGTTTCATTCACTGCTGTTTTTACTGTTGTCTCATCTTTGAACACGGAAGAGATCTTCAGAAAAACCATAACAACTTTCTCTGTGTCAGATGTGTCTGTCTGGAAAAAATAGAATTCCAGAATCTAAGAATGCCAAGTCTACGCAAGACATCTTGTTTCCAGATAGAACAATTGGGCCATGGTTGTTGTACATGGAATCACAACCCATGACACAATGCCATTGCAACTTCAGTTTGCAAAGTACAAGCTTGCTTTTCCATGGAAAAATACATAAAAGCTTGCAAATATGTGCTCCAGGTATGGCTTGCTGGCCAAAGATAACACATACCCTATTGTGTACACACATTCTGCAAGCGGCCAAAAGGAAAAACAGTAACACACTTCTAGTTTAAGACAAGACATACAAGGGGTGTGTACTGTATGTTTTAAAGGAGAGCTGTGCTTCTGGGAGGCAACTTTTGTATTTAAAATGGAGCAATTTGTTGTAAGCCAAAGCTATATAGTTCACAGCTGCCCCTGCTTCTTTTAACTGCCCCTGCTTCATCCCCAGATTTAGTGGCCACAGGGAGTGGGGGGAAAAGAGCAAGGGGTTTGTGTGCTCCACAGACCAGGTTTGGTAATCTTCATAGTGCTATTTAACTCTTTCAGCACTGAATTTTCTCAAATATCTGGTAGGACCCAATCTCCAAATACAGCTTTATCACCCCCAAATAAAACCATATGAGCAGGAGATCCATCGTCTGCTTGTGTAGGAAACAAATGCCCAGACTGCCTGAACTCTTTGGCAGATCAGTACAGGATGACATTTTTAATATGTACATATATTAACATGTTAAAAAAGTATACATGTATATGGATGGATGCAGGCATGAATGACTGGAGGTGCCAGATTAAGAGCAGCAGAACTACTGGCTGCATAAAATATTGCCTCATGAGGGGAAAAATAACAGTGGTTTACCTGCTGGGCTATCAAGGTTGAACACTTGGGGCCCAATCGCAACAATTTCTCTGGAGATGGGAAAGCTAGAAACGTGCCAACATCCACAGGAGGAAGAGGTGAAGACACTGGAGGAGAATCCTGAAATAAATAGCCCTGAAAATTAGTACAGTACTTCTTCCCCAAAAATTTGCAAGCATGGGGACCAATGTTGTAGACAAAAAGTGAAGGAAAAAGCTGATACAAAACAAACAGGAGCAAGCAAAGATTTGCACCTAGACCTAGTCAAACTAAGAACCATTGTGTTGTAACTGGTGGCACTTAGTCATGTAAGGTTATGAGTGGATATACTGTACAGTAACTAGTTTCTTACAAATACTGAAGCTAAGCTTTCTAGGACATTGATCAGCAGCCGCCATAAAAGACAAAAGTACAACTCAATTAAAATTCAGAAGAGAGTGTAAAACCACACATACATTTTAGAACAGAATGATAAGCTACAACAAGATGGTGTATAACATAGGCTAAATAAAGAGAGCTTAGTGTGGTTTAAAATATTACATTCAAACAAATTCATAACTTCACTTGCAAGTTATTTTTACTGGGATATCAGAATGTTTTGAAACAAGACAACTAATATCACATGTTTATCACTGTTTCAAAGAAAAAAGCAAAGGCACTAAAATAGCTAGCAGACTAACTTTAATTTACTTCACAGGTTATGCATTTATAAGATTGATATATTTGCATGTATACTGCCTAATCACCTAGAAATGTAACTTTGAAACTGCCAAATTCAATTGGCATTCATTCATTACATTATCAATTAATTTTAGATATTATTAATATTGTTCTTATTATTAAACAATGTATATTTGGACATGGAAAAATGTTCATGGAAAATTGTCCACAAAAAAATTCTAGCCCACAGCACTAAACGTGTCATGATGTATAACAGTTTCTCCTCTTCATTTGGAAGTGATATATGTTTAACTTACATGGGTGTCTAAAATTTTTTGAGGTGTTAGCAATTCTTGGTCTCCCTGGCTCCTCTCCTGTACTTGAGGTGTCTCTTCTTCCTCCTCCTCCTCCTCTTCCTCCTCTTCATCTTCCTCCTCCTCCTCCTCATCTTCCTCCTCTTCTTCTTCCTGCTCTTCCTCTTCTTCTTCATCATCATCATCCTCTCCTTCATCATCACTACATGGAGAGGTTTGCATGAGAACATTTTAACTATAGCTGCTTCAGTGTGCCTCACACAAATATTTTATTGTTGGTCAAGTACATTGGTGCCTCGCATTACGATGTTAATTCGTTCCAGCGAAATCGCTGTAGAACAAAAACATAATGTGAAATTAAAAAGCCCATAGAAATGCATTAAAACCCAATTAATGCGTTCCTAGGCGCTTGAAACTCACCGTCCAGCGGAGATCCTCCATAGCACAGCCATTTTCGCTGCCTGTGCAGCGAGGAATCCGTCCCAGAAAAGAGCGGGGAGCCATGTTTTTTACCCAGCGGCCATTTTGAAACCGCCAATCAGTTGGCCGATAATCATTGCTTTGCGAGAATCGGTTCCTGAAGCAGGGAACCAATCATCGCAAAGCGAAATTCCCTTATAGGAAACAAACCTTCAATGTAAAGCGATTTCATAATAAAACGGAGCGCTCGTAATGCGAGGCACCACTGTATCAGGCTCAGAAGTGGGCAATGGGCCCCCGACCACTGAAGTTCTATGATGGCAAAATCGCCATCTTCCCCCCACCCCAAGTAATCAAGGGGTGGGCAGATGCACCAGAAATATGAGGCTCTTTCAAAACAGGGCCTTGCCACACATGTTTGCACGTAAATAAGTATCTATTTTGCCATGTTAACGACAATTCGTTGTCATTCCACCAACAGTTTATTAACCACTGAACTAGTAACGGCTACCATAACAAACAAACCATTTCAAGAGAGGCTGTGCAAAACACAGGTTTTAAGACTGGAAAACCAACATCATCAGAACTTTGGCTGTCAAGTGGCTCATACGCAACAACAAAACAGGACTGGTCCCAACTTAGCTGCTACTAGACAAACAAATGTTTCATTAAAACCATTTTTACACTTAGAATCTAAGAATTACACATAAGAGAAAAGAAAAACAGTGTCTGATCAGATGAGAGGGCCATCGGGTATAGCTTTCTGTTCCCACAGCAGCCAACCAGCTGCCAGGGAAAAGCAAGCAAAGCAGGGCAAAGGCACCCTCCTTTTAGCAGCAACTTATTATACCACCTCCTTATATCCTACCTCAGGGATCCAAGCACTTGTGCCATATTGAAACCTTCAAGTATCTCCTGAAGTTGTTCACAGCCTTCTTCCCCAAAACAATTGCCTAAGAAGAGAAAGAAACCTATGTTGATAATGTTCTATAGCTGCTGTAAGGCGCTGTGGCATTTATCTACTGAAAATCACATTTGGGCAAGACTATTAGCACTGAAGTAGCAAAACTTTCACAATGAAATGGAAATTCAACTGCAGCTTATCTGCTAGATCAGTGGTCCCCAACCTTTTTAATGCCAGGG